AATTTGCCTCTTAGGGGTCAAACTGAGCCAAAAAGCCACCTCCGGGGAGCTAGGTAAGTATCCCGTCTAATCCTATAATTTGGGAGACTTAGTTTCCATGTCGCCGTCCTATTACCGTAATTTTCATCTGATACCTCTTTTCTCTAGTCTAGTTGAATTTCTAGTAAGAACTTTATTGCCCAGCTAAACTGAATCCTATGTTTGCTAAGTCCGCACTAATAAATCTATGTAAAACTATGTAAAATGTTGTCCCTTTTAGCTTCTGCCTCAATTTACAAAAGATAGGTTTGCTTCCATCTATAAGTAAGGTGATCGAATCCACTTTCTAAGGGTTCTGCATGACGCAATTTTTTGATAATAATCCCAGGGTTTTCTATGCAGTTTTGGTCTTCACGCCCAAAGGTGATTTAAAGGTCACCAGCTCATTTTTTTTCCGGAAATTGTCCACTTCCAGTCTAAGGGGCGTTTTTCCCAGGCGCTAATAATTTCCGGTACAGCGGTCAGGTTTGGTTTCAACTATGACATACGACATTATTTGCTATTGTTTGGATTCCTGGCACCCTGCGTTCAGTGGGGGCCGAGAAACGATTTTGGGAAGTCCCGGATGAGAACAATATACTAAGGGCTTTTGACAGCACTGTATATCTATAAGTTTTTGTCTTCTGGTTTTATAAGGTTGAATGCGTTCTTTAACTGAGCCATAAGGATGATTGGCCCTAAATATTTGAAAATCCGTCAATTGTGCATATAAAGATCTAAATGTCAGTTTTTCGGAAAGTATCGATAATGACGTTAAAACCTGAGCTTTCTCTAACTTTTTATTGTCCTGATTTGTTCACTTTGGGCTAATAATTTTTCAACTGATCATTTGTAGTAGCGTAACAATGCTAAACGTCTATAAATCCAAGGTGTTGCTTTCCTGAGCGAGTTTGTTATTAGTCGAATTTACAGTAGAAACGCTAATTCTACATAATGGCTCGTTGAAAACTCTAATTCTATGGCAAACTTATCTTAGTTTTTAAAAAAAGATTCAGTAATTGTGCATGAAGAACAGAATCATCTCATTACGAGAATCGAAAAAAAACAACACTTAGAAAAAGAAAATATGTCGAAAAAAAGTCAATTCATCTCAAATTTTCCTTGATTCTTTTTTTCAAGTAAAGGAAAACATGATACATAAAAAGCAAAGAAAGTCAAAAAATCGTTAACATAACCTAACAACTGCAGTGGTTTGTGCTCTATTCTTATCGGGGAACTTACGTTTTTTTAATTTTGTTTTGTTTAAGGTTGCAATCAGTTAGCAAAAGTAAATAAAGCTGCTATTTTTGAGCACCTTCCATTCGGCAGTTATCCAAAACACTTCGCGCAAAACTTCGGGTCAAAATTGATTCCGGTTTATGTCTTTTTCAGATCCGGTTCGCTAAATGAGCTCCATTGTTGTGGAAAAATGCATTGAGCCAAAAGTGAGTAAATTGGTTTTTTTCTGGGTGCTCACTAGGCTACGTTTTGTATAATTTGAAATTTGAATTACTTTACCAGCTTCATACACAACGCCAAAAGCAATACATTTTGCCTGGAGGGAGATCCTAAAGAGCAGTACTGCTCATCGAGTAGGATATCCTGGAGAGTAAAAAGAAGACAGCCAGCATCAACTGAACAAACAAATTAACTTAAGGGCTGAAGTTAAAAAACAGTTTATAGAGGTCCTGATTGTCTTTTAGGTGAGATTGAAAAACTGTCTATAAAATCTCAAAGAGCTAACTTGCGACACTTCATATATATTCACCGGTATCAAGTCATTTTGTTTTAAATAGTTAAAGGCCTGCACAATTCTAACTGTAAGCGATCTCTGTTTAGTGAGTGTAGAAAAATTTGACACTTTAATTACGCCTTTGCTTTGCTCCTGGTACATGGTCCACTTTTTTGGAGTAAATCTGAAATCTGGGACAGAGAACTCTTTTTTTGTGCGATCGCAATTTCATAAACAATTATTTAAACATCTCAAAAAGTATAAATCAAAAACAGTAAGCAATCTGTTTTCGTCCATGGTTTCCTTGATTGATTGATTCATATCTACATTTGAAAACATTGCTCTTATGATTCTTTTTTGTAGTTTCATTATCTCGGTAAGGTGAGGTTGGGATGTATCGCCGTGTATTAAAATCCATAAGGGATTTTAGGAATTACTTATGCTTTGTAGAAGCGAAACATCTGCTGTTTGGAAAAAATATACCTAGCTTTCCAGACAATGCCACAAAATTTGGTTAACTTTTGCACACAAGTTCAATGTGAAATTTTAAAGTAAGTTTCTTATCAAAAAAAATTCTTAAATATTTACACACAATTGTAATTTGAACTGAAGTACCAAAAGCAAAGTAATCTTTTGAAAAGTTTCTACCAAATTTCATTATTTGAGTTGTACCAGGATTGACACAAAATCCATCCGTTTTGAACCAGAAATAGCTTATTTCCACGGCTCAACAAACCTAATCAAGTCTAGCTCAAACTAAAGACCTAGTCGATTCGTAATAAAAGACGATGAACCAAAACTCTGAGTCGCAAAGCGGAAAAGCAGACAACGACGACAAAAGTAGGAACTAATCGAGCCGGAAATTTTCTCAATACTATATATGCTGCATTAAATGGAGCTGTAAACTCAATTTATTAAGCCGCATTTTTTCATATATCGCAAATTTTTTTTTCTGTATTGCATATTGTAGTATCATCAGTAAATAGAACAACCTCAGATCCTTCAGCAATTTTCGGAAGATCATTTATATATCAAAAACAAAAACGGACCTAAAACCGACCTTTGCGGTACTCCACATGACATAGAGCGACTGGAAGATATTTTGATTTCAGTTTCAACAAATTTAAACCGGTTTGTATAGTAATTTTTCAGAAGACCATGATCTTGCCTCTGAGGCCGTATTTTTCAAATTTTGCCAAAAGAAGATCATGATTTATGGTATCAAATGCTTTTTTGAGATTAACAAGGCATGATTGACCAACCAATTTTTTTGTCCCATTCCTCTCTAATGAGTTTGGTGAATTCAGTTAATGCGTCCACGCATGACTTTTTCTTTTGAAATCCAAACAGTTTTTCATAAAGAATCTTCTGTTGGTTAGCAAAGTTATACAGAAGTTTTATAGGAGGGTAACTGAGCGCAACAATTGAAAAAAACAATATCCGACTGGTTGGTTTCAATAATCTAAAAATTGGACTCATTAGTTTAAGTCCATTTGGTCGCCTACTCGCAAAACTGCGCAAACATTAGATATCATTTCAAAAAAAAGTGAATTGATCAATAAGAATTAAGCTCCTGATGAGTCATGTTCTTTGGTTGTCATTGCTTTCCAATGTCGTAATCAGCTGCGCATCTAGGATTTTTAGAGATGGAAATTTTCGTTAAAAAAAAATTTTTAGGTCGACCAATTGGCTTTCCGATCTCTCTTAAAAGGCAAAGTGATCCCATTTTGCCAAAAGTTTCTTCATCGCTGACAATTTTTGCAATAGTTTTATGATTTTTGTGGAAGTTTTGACCCAAAAATTTCAATTTTAAGCGCCCGCCCCCACCTGAATACAAAGAATCCAAGGAAAAACAAAGAGAATCAGTTCCTGAACAAAAATCACAAATTGTCCGATCTGAGTGATTTAGGAAAATTAAGTTGAAACTATAGAAAGACAATTGAAAGAAAAAATTTTCATTTTCTTTGTCATTGTTTTTATTTATTCTGAACTTTTTGGTATTTGCTTGTTTCAGCTAAAAACTACAGAAAGGTGTTAATTGCTAAAATAACAAAATTTTAGTTGGAAGGCCAGCCTTTCATCAAACTTCATTAATTGCGTCTGAAAATCGAAACTTTTAATTTCTAATGTAGATTACAAAATCAACAACAATAGGTTTAAAAGTGATCTCAAACGTAACTCCTATGGGTTACCATAAAATACCTATAAATAGTCGGAAAAACAGCTTCTTTTTCTTCTTTTGTTGCGAGCTGTCGCGTTGCCAAACAACACATTGACCCCATAGTTTCAAACACACACGTGAAAATTATATCAATTAGGGTATATATTAATTGGAATAGATTGCATGCATGGTTTTTGCTTTAATCTGAATTATTTTTATTTTGGATTTTGATCCTCGTTTTTTTTTCAATCAAGCAACTACTTTTCCACTACTCAAAGTCGAATATCCTTTTTGTTAATGCAACAAAAAAACTAACACTTTATTCGCAGTTTGGAGATAAATTGAAAAGAAAAGAGTATGTCAAATTCACATTCACAGATACATTGGTTTAATTTGTTCGCAGTAACATTGGTGTAATTTGTTTGTTAGTAACAAAAAAATATATTCATCAAAGGAGAAATTTAAATGAATTTGAACTTGCTCCATGAAAGCTTACCATAAATTTTCATTGTATACATTTCATGAAATCATTAGGTGTCTTCATTTTTACTTTTCAGTTTTTTCTTTAAGTCAATGCGAAATCTGACGTTATACTCTGATAAATGTTATTCCAAATTGTAATTGATCTTTGGAAAACAAAACTGATCTTTTTTTTCATATATCTGGATTGCCATGGGCTCTTTAAGTTCCTGGCAGGAATTCCAGGGTTTCCTCCTGGCTATGTAACCCGGGTTTCAATACAACAAGCAATTCTAAGATATTTTGTATAATTTTTAAGAAGTGAAACTTATCTAACATTTCAGAAAATCGAAATTAAAAAAATATTACAAAATTTGATGAGACCGTTTGATTTCAGTTATAGCTCTCTCAGCTGTTTGAATTATTGTTTAAATAAGGTTTTTGATAGATATTACCAGTGGCGAGCGCAGAAGTTTTTCTAGGGGGGGGGGGGGGGGTGGGGTGGTTTTTTTTGTCGGCATTTTTTTAATGTCGACCAATTTGATTTTCCGAGCTCTCTGAAAATACTATAAGGACCCTATTTTGTCGAAAAAACAATATTATCCAGACTCTGTTTTGTTACAATGAAAGGGCGATCTTGTCGACACTGCCTCACCAGTTGACGAGCAACATCCAGTACCTGATTGAACAGAAGATAGCCTCTTTGGACAGGGAGAAGAAAGACAACAATGACGTCATTAACGGACAATGTCGTTGTGAAATGAATCTGGAACTACCCCAGGTAATTTTTTCGAGCTTCTACGTTCCTAATAGAGCAGAAAGAAAACAGTTGATTCTACGTTTAATACAACCATATCGCTTTTTGACATCTAGTTTGTTCTTTTGGGTCAAAAGATAAGCCAAAACCTCGAGCTGGGAGGTGAAAATACAAACCTACTAGATTTTCAATTCATTATTGAATGCTGATGTTCCTCCAATTATATGCCGTATCCAATTATCTGGCAATTTTTCTGCAGTGGAAATTGTTGACTTACCCGCGGGTTCAAGCAGCTCACGTAAAGTATCGACCTTTAAAGTCGAGCACGATGCCAGCGCACGGATGAAAATGAGTGGTCAGGTCAGGGGCTTGAGTCGAGCTCAAATTCGAAAAATATTTCGACTTCTGTTCAAACTTATCTCCGAGAACAGTCAAAATATAACTGAGCACCGAGCACGGTCGAAATATACCTCAAGCACGGTCGAAATATAACTCAAGCACGGTCGAAATATACCTCAAGCACGGTCGAAATATACCTCAAGCAGGGTCGAAATATAACTCGAGCACCGAGCACGGTCAAAATATACCTCAAGCAGGGTCGAAATATAACTCGAGCACCGAGCACGGTCAAAATATACCTCAAGCACGGTCGAAATATACCTCAAGCAGGGTCGAAATATACCTCAAGCAGGGTCGAAATATACCTCAAGCACGGTCAAAATATACCTCAAGCAAGGTCGAAATATAACTCGAGCACCGAGCACGGTCAAAATATACCTCAAGCAGGGTCGAAATATAACTCGAGCACCGAGCACGGTCAAAATATACCTCAAGCACGGTCGAAATATACCTCAAGCAGGGTCGAAATATACCTCAAGCACGGTCGAAATATACCTCAAGCACGGTCAAAATATACCTCAAGCAGGGTCGAAATATAACTCGAGCACCGAGCACGGTCAAAATATACCTCAAGCACGGTCGAAATATACCTCAAGCAGGGTCGAAATATACCTGGAGCACGGTCAAAATATGCCCCCAGCGCAGCTGAAACAAAATATACCTAAAGCATGGCCGAAATATCCCTCGAGCACGGTCGAAGTATACCTCGAGCACGGTCGAAGTATACCTCGAGCACATTCAAAATATACCTCGAGCTCGGTTGAATTATACTTCGAGCACATTCAAAATATACCTCGAGCACATTGAAAATATACCTCGAGCACGGTCGAAATATCCCTCGAGCACGGTCGAAGTATACCTCGAGCACGGTCAAAATATACATCGAGCACGGTCGAAAAACACCTCGAGCTCGGTCGAAAAATATGGTCAAAAAATAGCCCATATTGTCAAAAAATAGCACGAGAACGGTCAAAAAATAACACTTTCGACACCCATCTCCAGCACGGTCGAAACATGCATCAAGCACGGCACAAAAATCTCGGGCACGGTCGAAACATAAATCGAGTTCAGTCAAAACATACCTTGAGCACGGCCGAAACATACCTTGAGCACGGCTGAAACATTCCTCGAGTACGGTCAAAAAAACTTCATGCACGGTCGAAACATAACATGAGCACGGACGAAACATACCTCAAACACGATCGAACGATACTTGATCACTGTCAAAGCATACCTCAAGCACGGTCAAAACAAACTTCAGGCACGGTCGAAACATACGTCGAGCACGGTTTAAGCAAGCCTTGAGCACGTTCGAAACATAAATCGAGCTTGGTCGAGCACGGCCACCAAAACCTACCTTGAGCTCGATCGAAACATACTTCGAGCACGTTTGAAACATACCTTGAGCATGTTAAAACATACCTCGAGCACATTCAAACTATACCTAGGGTACAGACAAAACATCTCTAGCACGGTCGGAATACACATCGAGTACGGTCAAAAAATACCCAGAGCATGGTCAAAACGCACCTCGATCACGGTCGAAAATTACTTTAAGCGCAATCGAAACAGACCTCGAGCACGATCGAAGTATACCACGAGCCCAGTCGATATATATATACCTCGAACATGATCGAACCATACCTTGAGCAATTTCAAAGCATACCTCAAGCACGGTCGAAACAAATACGTGAATGATCGGAATAATTGTCGAGCACGGTCGGAACATACTCCGAGAACGGTCGAAACATACCTCGAATACTCTCAAACATACATCGAGTGTAGTCGAAACATACATTTCTAACGTCAAAAAGGCACGGTTGAAAAATACATTTGATTCCGCGCACAAATTTTTGTAACGTAAATTTTGCGGTAAATTAGTTTTTTTGCCGATGCCGCAACGAGCGAATGTAGCCAGTTGTTCCGGATTCAGCAAAATTAAGGGGATTCCCCAAATGTCAATGGATTCAGCAAATTTTTGCGGATTCTGCCCACAATTTGCGGATTCCGCTTACACTTCAAGAAAATCAAAGAAAAGTAACAATGTTGTGGGTTGCGCGACATACTGTTTTTGGCCTGAATCCGCTAACAATTCGCAAAATACGCAGTTTGGCCTGGTAATGTTCTCCTATTACTAAATTGCAAAGCATCAAAATTTGAGCAAAGGCATAATGTCAATTATACGTTTTGTTATAGCTTGTCGTAGAAGGTGAGTAAACAATTTATGACTTCATGCGACCCTTGCAATTTAAAATAAGGTTTAGAAAAATAGCAATTGAGAAATTTTGGAAACATATTTGAAGACCTATTCTTTTGTCGATTCCGCTCAACAATCTCCTCCCTTTCTTGAATGCAACAAACTTACACTTGTCAATACAAAGCTCTGGTGCTAATTTACTGTATTCATTTATAGGGGTGGAGATTCTTTTGTAGTACTACAGGGGGGGGGGGGGGGTAGTTAAGTAGACGCTTTGCTGGATTCTGTAGGCCCATTCCAATTGAAATTAAAACTTCCAAATTGTTTGGTTTTCAATGAATCTTATGCGTCTTATTTGGAGAATGAATTCATGGGCTGACCTTCCAATACTTTTATAAATTTCCAACCCAATTTTTTTCCAATTGAAATACTTCTTGCAGGTATGAAACAAGAAATCGGTCAAGAGGATCTTAAATTACGGAACTTAAGAGAAGTTTACGTAACGAAAGAGCAATACATCCAGTGCCTCAAATCTTCAGACAACATTGCCCAAAACCTCCACACCTCGACCTCCTTCAAACCACGTGACTTCAAAACCCTTAGAGGTTCTAATCCTCTGGGCATGGGCGGGGCTACTGCTGCGAGTCTGTTTGCTGATGAGAGCAGCAAACGCTCCGTCGAAATACCAGAACTGGTACATGTTTGAAATTATTCTTTCACTTATTCTTCTAGCACGCCTTTTTCTAAGGTTAGTTCAAAAGAACGCTCAAATCAACACACTAATAAGACATGTGGATATTTCATTTGAAAGACCCCTCGAAAACACTCTGATATGATCTACTTCACTAAATTTACAATTTTCGCACATATTTTGTGCTTTTTAGGAGTGGGGGAGAGTTCCTCTGTACCTGCATGACAGGGGTGACGCCGACATTGCAGTGTGCACTCTGCTTCAGAAGGGATCACTAGAGAGTGTGGATCATCTTCTTAACCTAATTGTAAGTTTCAGCTCGATCATCGTAAGAATTAAAACAGGAAAATTTGGTACACCAGAATATTGAATACCAGAATTATACCAAGTGCATTCTTTTTTTGGAGCACGTAAGCTTTAGCAACCGAAAAGTTGCTGTGGAGTTTTTTGTTGTTACTGCCACTTAATGTGAGGAAAAACTTTGGCTTCGAGTGTGTTTTAGCTTTTTTGTACTTTTTTGCCACGCAAAATCAGGTATTTTAGATGATCCTAGGCCCGGATCGAGGTTGTGGTTTTATGATCAGACGGTCGCGACCAAATTTCGGTATTTCCAGACCGCCGCGATCAAAGTTGGATATTTTTAGACCGCAGCAAACAAAGTTTGATATTTCTAGACTTTGCAGAGCGAAGCAATGTGTCCGCGACCAGCGCGACCGAATGAAAGTTAGCTGCGACCGGCGCGACCCAATGAAAGCTAACCGCGACCGAAAGAATGAAAGTTAACCGCGACCGAAAGTTAGTGGCGTCGGTGGAAAAATTAGTCGCGGTGGTCGAAAAATTATCAGTGGCGGTCGAAAAATTAGTTGCGGCGGTCGGAAAATGAGTAGCGGCGGTCAAAAAACTTGTCACGGCATGGTCGGAAAATTACGCGGCAAATTAACAATCGGCGCGATCAAATAAAAGTTAACAGCAATCGGGGAAAAACAACTAGAGAAAAATGTTTCGAAAGCAATTGATGCAGTTAAAACAATCGACTGAAGATTTTTTCAACCGAAAAAAAAGAACTGAACGGAAAAAATTTGTCTGGCCGAGAAGTGTATATATGTATGTATGTATGTATGTATGTATGTATGTATGTATGTATGTATGTATGTATGTATGTATGTATGTATGTATGTATGTATGTATGTATGTATGTATGTATGTATGTATGTATGTATGTATGTATGTATGTAAGTATGTATGTATGTATGTATGTATGTATGTATGTATGTATGTATGTATGTATGTATGTATGTATGTATGTATGTATGTATGTATGTATGTATGTATGTATGTATGTATGTATGTATGTATGTATGTATGTATGTATGTATGTATGTATGTTTGTATGTATGTATGTATGTATGTATGTATGTATGTATGTATGTATGTATGTATGTATGTATGTATGTATGTATGTATGTATGTATGTATGTATGTATGTAAGTATGTATGTATGTATGTATGTATGTATGTATGTATGTATGTATGTATGTATGTATGTATGTATGTATGTATGTATGTATGTATGTATGTATGTATGTATGTATGTATGTATGTATGTATGTATGTATGTATGTATGTATGTATGTATGTATGTATGTATGTAAGTATGTATGTATGTATGTGTGTATGTATGTATGTATATGATGAGTCGTGATTTGAACTATTAAGCAGGCTTATAATAGGGTGATCTACTGTTTTATGCCGTGAAAACTTTGTCAGCCACTTAGAATTTTTTTTTATTTCAAAAGAAATTCAAAACAAATAAAACTGCAGTTCAGTATGCCTAATTTACAATTACTATCGTTTTCGCTTGTATTCAAAGCTTTTGTTAATATCTTCTGATTAAACCAAGAACAAAAAAACTAAGCAATAAATTAAAATTATTCTTCAAAGTTTCTTTCAGCCACTCAGGATTTGTTTGACCAATTTTATAACCAGATCCTCACTTAAAGAAGTGGACTATCATTAGTTAGGCTGCACAGTCTTTAGAAGATCCTCTGCGATTCGCAGACACGAACTTTTATCCTCTCACTGAGACAAGATGCATTTTGAATGATTTCAGAATATTCTCTTGAGCAAAGCTAAAACCCAGTTCGATGAACTCTTCCACAGCAAGAGCATAATGTCCAACTCCAAAATACAAGAACATGCAGCCGTAGTTTTCAACAACATGGAGCGCAATCCAGAGTTTGAGGTGTTACAGACACTGCAGATGGTGAAGGCAGAGGGGGGCTTAACAGGGACGGGGGGAGGCAGCAGCAGCTCCGGCAACAAGTCCTCCTCTTCTTCAGCCGCAAATTCGAAGTACCAGCTCGGAGAGCACGATTTAATTTATAAAGAAACAGCCAGAATCACCAAAAATTCTATAAAACCATAGAATAACATTTTCAAAATAACTCCATGCAACTTTGAATTTTCAGAAAGCTTTGAAAAATGATGACCCGAGATTTTTTTCAAATTGCAGTAATGGTCAGGTTCCTGGTGAAATGAGCGTACACTTCATCTCCTTTGGTCATCCTTGGGAGATGAGAGCTTCTTTCTCAACCCTTGCGAATTCGAAACATCAGTTAGGCTCTGTAAATATTTGGCGGTTACTTCAATAGCTGTTTTTATAATTTTCATGTCTCATATTAATTTAGAACACTTAGTTTTGTTCGCCTAGAGCGGACAGATTGTTTGGAGTGGACCTGATGACTGGATCTCTGAGTGGCCGTGAAGACTATGAGCAGACGAGTGCCGAGTCGAAGAGGACATTCGCTCTCATTCAGGGACTAATAGAGCAGAACACACAGAGCTCCAGGCCTGGATACCCCGCAGAGATACATATCAAGTAGGTCATGTTTGCATGAGAATACGCCCTCGCCGATCAAGTTAACCGCGCAATTTGTTGTTCCGATTTTCGAAAAAAAAACGGAATATTTATGCTTGTGGTAGTTTTTTTGTTCAGTCAATTTTCGGTCATCGAAATAATAGGTTTTTACTAAATTTTTTTATATTCATTGAAGGTGTCGACTGAAATTAAATGTAAGAAGATATTTTACTTTCGATCTTTTTTTTGCTATGGTTTCAAAATTATCAATTTGGCCATGTTCTGAACTAATTTTGAGGCTAGTGTGATATGCGTTGCGATTTCAAATGAAAACAAGTTGTAATTCAATACTTTCTTCTGAATATTGAATTTAGTTTTTTCTTTTCTTTGTTTTGGTATTGGTTACTGAGATCTAGATCAGTGCTGAAAATTCTGATCTCTCACTTAGTCTCAATGTCATCACACACTGTGACCTTCAGTATACCATAAAAGTAATAAGTAAGCACCGTAGGTTGGTTGTACATACATAAACAATTACTGCTACTGCAGTAGCGGTATGACACACCCCCCTCGGTAAAGGAAATAAATTATACAACATAAGTAGGATAATTTTTGTAAAAAGAGTTCACTGTACTCAGTTCACAAGAAAGTTGCTGGGTTACTTGAAGGTTTAGTTTATAGAATTTTCAATTTTCTTCCAGCTCTATTTCCCAACTCGGGTTCCATTCCACTCCTTCATCTAGCGTAGCATACCCAAAGTTTCGCATGAATAAGTGTCGTTCGAGCCGTCTTATTTTCGATTCTACCGGTCTGTCGCTTCGTTCCTTGAAGTCTCTTAGTTGATTTCGATATTCCTGAAGTGCTGTTTTCAGGAGTGCTCCCCCTGTCAGATTCTCTGATATCTCTTTAATCGAGTGCTTTATCGGGTCACCAAAGCGTTTCGGTTCCTTGTTTTTCGTTTGCCTGGAGCTTCGTCTGATACCCGACTCTTCGGTACTCGACTCATCCAAGAATCCCTGTGGTGGTTCGAATGTCGTATCTTTCTCCGAAATTTGTTGTGGGTTTTCTCTAATTTCGTCTGCAACTCGCTGAAATCCTCGTTTTGATAAATGATCTGCATATTTTTCCCACTCGGACGGTGCTAAATTTCGATTGTGGAATGTGTCGATTATGTCCTCTGGAGGTGTCTGGGAATCAATACATTTCAATTTCGACCTCTGTTTTGATTTAGGTGTAGAGCTTGTCTGAGTTTTATGATCTAATTTTCCCGACTTTGAAGTAGATTGCTCCTGCTCCGGATCGGCTGCCGTCGCAGTTTGGCTTACCCCCTGTTGTTGCTTGTTTTGGTTTTTCTTTTCTTTCACTTTCTTCCCCGTCTTCTTTTTATCGCTTTCCTTTGTAGTTGAACTTGGACCCGCCAGATTTGGTTTTGCCCTCCTAATTGCCAAGTTCAGGCCTCCCCCTGCTTCCGTGTCTTTTGAAGTCACTACTGTTTGGCTCTTTTGGAAACTATCTATGGGATTCGTCGCATCTGCGATCTCCATGTCTCGTTGCAGTTCTTCATCGGACCCCAACTCCTCCGGTAATTCGGGGGAACTGATCCTTTGAAACTTTTTCGTAGGTTCCGCTGATGGACTCTTACTCGCACTCCGCTGATTTTCCTGTGTCAGCACTGTTTTCGATTTTGCAATATCTGACTTCCGATAGATAGAGCCTGTAGACGTCTTGGTCGTTGAGTCTGTTTCTGAAGCGATTTTCCCCTTTAATTGTTTTGTGAGTGCTTGTCCCCTTTTTCTTAGCGGGTCCTTTCCAACTATTGTCTTAGGCGGGGATTTACATTGATCTTCAACTTTGTCTTCAATAAATCCTTTCTCCCATGAATATATCATCTCCTTTCGTAGATCAGGATTTAGTAGTCCAGTCTCGTCCACTAATCGTCTCAGTGGGCTTGTATCCCTGCTGAGTTGTCCTTTGCGTACTATTTTGAGGTTCTCTCTTGATTGGTCAATTCTGCGTTTCAATTGGGAAGCCGTCAGCGCTGAGCGTTTCAAGTGTTGTTTGTCTAAATAGTCTGAATTGTTTAAAAACCTATCCCTCACAATTTTAAATTGCGTTTTTGGTAGTCTGCCAAAATGCGCTTGAAATGGGGATACTTGAATGGTTTTCTGCTTGTTCCACCGCAAATATCTCATTGTAATACTAAGACATAATTTGATCGATTTATTACTTTCTTCGAGCAACATCACCCCCAGTCTTCTTTTTATAGTTTGGATTGTACGTTCTACCAAACCACAGCCTTGGTGGTCCCCCACCGGACAGAATTTTTGCTCGATATTGAGTTCCGAACAAAATTTTTTCAGCGTTTTGCCTTTAAAGCCTGAAAATTGATCCGAGCGAAATGATTCGGGAATCCCATGTGTGTCGATATACGATCTCAAAAATGTTACTGTACACTTCCCATTTGTAGATTTTGTAACCTTCACCGATGGAAATATTGAAAATCGATCTATAGCTACTAAGAGGTAGATTTTTTTCCTTTTTGATTTTCTATGGGCCCCGCGTAATCTAATTGTACTTCCTGTCCCGGCTGCGTGAGCGGTGGCAGTGGTTTTGACGCGTTTTTCGAAATAAGATATTTTACATTCTTACCGTATCTGGTACAGCTACGGCACTCCTCGGCTAGATTCACAATGTCCTTGTTCATATGCGGCCACCACAGGTATTGTGAAGCTCCTAGCATAGCTTCTTGGCCTGGATGCCCTCGATGTATTCGTTTGAGAACAGCTTGTCTTAGTTGGACTGGGACCGCTAGCCGATTATTCACCAAAATGCAGTCGTCCTGCACTGCCATCTGTGACCACAATGTGTTCGTATAAGGTCCCATCAATTCGAAGCCTTGTTTGTCCCCTCTTTCTATCACTCGTCTAAGGCGGTCCATCCATGTGTCTTCGGTGGTTAATTCGGCCAACAGACTTTTGTCAAACAGTTTTGCCAAATTTTCCAGGGTCTCCTCTTGCTGCTGCTTTGGCCGTTTTAGTTTTCCCAACGTCTTCGGCAGTTCAATTGCACACACTTCTTCTTCACTCTCAGCCTCTTCTGTGGTCATCAGGTCCATTTCTATGACCTCCACCTCGCTTAACTTTCTTTCCGCCGATGCGGTTGGTTTGTGTATCGCTGAACTTTGTCCATATTCTGAGCTGTCCCTGACCTCCTCTGTGTGTGCCACCAATTCTCTATTGGGTCCCCGTATGTTTTCTTCTCCGCCAATTAGTTGCCAGAATGAAAGAAGTCTCTGATCTGCTTGTCGTTGTTGATCTGGTTCGAGCTGCCATTTCACTCTTGATGCCTGCCTAGTTTCACTGTCGGAGCTATCCCTATTTTTACGGCCACCTCTTATGATTTTTCTTGTTCGCTGAACTGTCTCTGTGATTTCCTCCTCTTCTGAAAGTTCGTTTGCACTTGTCATTAAGCTGTTCCACTTTGGGTCCTGTAGGCTCTCTTCACGTTCGTCGTTACGCCATTCCTGTGGTGAATCCGACCACCAATCGTAGGATCTGTTTCCTGACATCTCGTTCCTTGAGTCTGTTTTTTTCTTCTTCTGAATTTCCGATACTGATTTTTCTATGATTTTCGATTTATTTGAGACTGACTGATTATTGAGTTGAGTTGACAAAAAAGTGATCGGTTTATGTTGAACTGCTGTGTTTAGCTGTTTTTGCAGTCGTGGAAACTGTTTTCTCTCGTTCCGTTCGAGCTTTGTTCGTTTTTGACCGTTTTGGTTGCTATAGCAACCATTACTTGATGACTGTTTCTTTGCATTCCTTCTAGAACATTCTAGAACGTTTTCGTTCCGGTCGAGCGACCCAGTTTCTTTGAGCCTACTGTTCATGCAGTCTAATGCTCCATGAAAGGAGTTTATTGTCGCCACTACAAACTTTATTTCTAACTCTGATTCGGGCCAGGGATCATTGTATGGATCACGCGATAAATAATCAACTATACCCATGTCCCTCCCCGGAATGTTAACTATTTTGAACTGATATGGCAATAACCGGCCAACCCAGCGGGTCGAACGGGATTGGTAGGTCTTATTTGACTTGTTACCATCTAACGCTGATGTAAGCGCTTTATGATCTGTTGCGATGATAAATGGTTTTCCCAAAAGGTAGTGTTTATATCTGTCTACTGCCCAAACAACTGCGAATAACTCCAGTTCATTTGTTGAATTTTTTTTTCTTGGGCATTCAGATATCGGGATGCGAATGAAATTCGAACCCACAGGCCCTCGTCATTTTGTTGTTCCAAAGTAGCCCCTAGCCCGTCATGGCTCGCATCACATTTAACTCGTGTTTCTCGGGTAGCATCGTAATAACATACTTTTGTTATATTTGCCACAGCTTTTTTTTATAGTATTAAATACTACCGTGTGTTCATCCCCCCACTCAAACTTTTTGACCGGGAGATTCATGTTTTTTAGCTTTTTCTTTTGATTTTCTTTTTTAAGAAGTGGTCTCAATTTCTCAGTCAGGCTTGCTGCGTTAGGTATAAATTTAGCTAAGTGATTTATACTTCCCAGAAAGGACCTTAACTGCTTAAGCGATTTCAGCGGGTTCAGATTTACAACCGCTTCGGTTTTAGTAATTTTAGGTCTAACCCCTACTTCTGAGACTTCTGAGAGCTGATGACCTAACCAATTCACTTCTTGTTTGAAAAATTCGCACTTTGATAATTCCAATGCCAAATTTTCCGCATCCAATTTCTTTTGTACTGCTTCCACCAGATTTCCATGTTCAGTTTAATTTCCTTTTGACACAATAAGTATGTCATCCAGAAAACAGAACGTGTTTTTAGCGTGATTGATAGTCCTATCCATAGCCTTTTGAAATTCAGCTGGCGTATCCGCTAAACCATAGAACCCTGTCAGAAATCTGTATGTTCCGGTTGCTTTCCCACCAACAATGTTAAAGCTGCATTGTTTAGCTGTATCAGCAGTCAATTTTAATTGACTGTACGCATATTTCAAATCTAACACCGTAAAATATAGAGTACCATTTTTGTTTTCGGTAACAATTTGGCTCACCCCATCGATGAGTTCATCTACATTCGGCATTTGATATTTGTTTTTGAACAATTGTCTATTAATTGGTTTCGCGTCCATGGCCAATTTTGTTGAGTCGTCTTTTCTTACTGTTATCACATTGGAGCGATAAAGCAATCACTTGTACAATTGTCGAGTTTTGTTATATGACCTTCTGTCAACAACTTCTCGATTTCTTTTTCAACTTTATCCAGTATGTGAATTGGGATTCTTCTCCCCTTTTCTTAAATTGGACATAGTGGATATTTAAATTTTGAACTTACAATGTGATTTTTTAAAAATCCTTGTCTGTCAAATAAGTTTTTAAATTTAGAAAAAAAAATTTTCTTTCCAACCTTCTGACTGCTCGCACATGAGCACGTCAAACCTGGTAAGTTCCTTTGATGCTGGTTTTTGTGTAGTAACTATTCCCACTTGTCCTTGCAGGTCTAGTCCCATGATGCATCTGGTTTTACGTTCTGATACCAGAAAGGTAGCGCCTTTTACCTCCCAGCCTGCCGACCGAAGATTGGTCTTAAGGGCTCCCAGTATACTGATCGGTTGTTTGTTGTAATCAACGAATTTGGTTTGTCAGTTCAGTTTTCCTGAAGGAAGGAATCTTACTTTGCTTGATTTATCCATAATTTCCTTCGCCGTCGCCCAATTGAGAAATGAAACTGGACTTCCCGTGTCCACTGTTAGTTGTAGTATTTGGTTGTCGATTCGTACCATGGCCTTAGTGATTTTACTCGTTTCAATGTTTGATCTCGAATCGAATCTATTTTCTGAACTCGTATCATTTCAGCATTTGAATTGTTCCTCATTTCATTAATTCGATCTTTCCTATATTTTGAAACTCTCTCATTTTCTGGTTGATAGGTTTGTATCGACATAACTTCAAACTCACTACATGACCCAACACTTTCACTTATCTGATCGCATTCCTCTACAGATCCTTCCGAGTCTTCCGCAACTTCGCTTACTTGTTGAGATCTGCACATTTTTGCAAAGTGATTGGGTTTACCACAGTTCTTACAAGTTTTCCCCATCGCTGCACAATTTTTTAGATGTCCTTGATTGAATGTCCTTCCACATCTGTTACATGGTTTTGTTTTCATGTTGTGATTCTTGTTATTATTTTGTCTTTTGTTCGATTGCTTTCTGGTTTGATTCTTTGTTGTCCCTGACAAATTTCGAACTGCCATTACAGGTTCTTGTTTTTTCTCACACCCGAGGTGTAATTGTTACTTGATCCTCCTGTAGCCGCTGCATTTGTCTTTTGGAACGCCATTGTGGTTAACTTGCTATGTCTAAGGTCTCGAATGTCAGCGTGTCGTGCAATGTCATGTTCTTCTTTTTTGAAATAAATAGATCACGGACTATTTCTTTTTCCAATGTTCCCAGTTCTGATCGGGCTCCTTGCGCAGTTAGCGCTGCGTGAAATGATTCCAGAGATTCTCCAGATTCTTGCATTCTCGTAAATAGCTTGTATCTTTCATACGTTACACATTTCACCTTTTGAAACGAAACTTCCGCCAGTTCTGTAATTTCACTGAACGTCATTTTCGATATTTCAGCATGTGGGTTCTTCTGTAGGAAACGTTTCTTTCCTTCTGTACCCAGAGACAAAAATAACCTGGACACCAGTTTCTTTTGTACTTTGTTATAGAAAACATTGTGTCCGACTCGTGGGCCCCTTGTCCTTCTCTCTTCATTCTCCAACAATACTCTATCTCTTGCTAGCTTGTCTCTAAGGGTCCTCGCATTCCTCGCATCTTCATTCTTTCCCTCTCGGGGTGTTTCTGGTCGAGGGGGTGGTTCCTCTAGTATGTCTTTTGGTTCTTCCAAAATAATCTCTGGGTTCACGTTTTCTTTAACCGTAACCGCCATGAGAAATTGTTCAAGCCAGATTTTGAATTGCCACGGAGGATCTAGATTCGCTGACGCCCAAAATACCGGGATTCCCATATCCGTTCTGTTATCTTGTGCTGCGAATCCTGCTGGCTGCGCCATGTGATTTGCGTTGCGATATCAAATGAAAACAAGTTGTAATTCAATACTTTATTCTGAATATTGAATTTAGTTTTTTCTTTTCTTTGTTTTGGTATTGGTTACTGAGATCTAGATCAGTGCTGAAAATTTTGATCTCTCACTTAGTCTCAATGTCATCACACACTGTGACCTTGAGTATACCATAAAAGTAATAAGTAAGCACCGTAGGTTGGTTGTACATACATAAACAATTACTGCTACTGCAGTAGCGGTATGACAGCTAGCTAGTCGGTCTTATTAGTTTCACACTACTCAAGTGTTCACAATTGCTCTTTAATACCGTCCAAAATTTATAGTTTCTCAATATTTTTTCCCAAAAACTATTCGATATGGGTTAATGGTAAGAAACATTCATTGCTTTGCACTGTATAGGAGCAGTTTTGCTAATTTAAACGGTCTTTTCTAATCTAGCCTCCCCCCAGCAAATAACTCAGACACAACAAATTAACAAGCACAGTGAATAATCATGTGTATTTTTATTTATTTGAACATAACTAGTAACTCTATGCGGCGCTAAGTTCAGTATTAACAAAACAAGGATGCACTTTTGTATGAATGAACTTAGGAATAAAAGCCCATTATTGTTTTTTTTTTTATAAATCCGCACACCGCGTCCACTAGTTACCCTAAACCAAAATTGTTAAGTTAGAAATTAATTCTTATATTTGAGGAATTGTCGCCTTTCTTAAATTTTGCGAGTTGCTTTTTTACGATGTGCCTTTTGTTGCGAGTTGTCGCGCTATCATTTCTTATAGCGGTACTATAATAAAAAGAAACAATGCTCTATAGTAGTTTGGTATAAATTCACAGAAAAAGTCTGTTAAACATCGAAAAAAAATAATCCTGTAAGTGTTTTTTTTCTATTTAACCAACAAAGAGCCTAGGCCGGAGGTTAACTGTTGAAAATTCACCATGTTTCAACTATCTTACAAAAACTCAACACACAAATTGCAGCGCACGTGCGATTTGAACCCGCAATAATCAGGATAGAAGATCAACAATTGGTTATATTTTGGCAGAAAAGCTACCTAAGCGAGAATTAGAGGACTGAGAGAGAGAGAGTGCACTGACCTTTGTCTAAAGTTCTCTTTAAAGTTTTCTTCCTGCGCAGAATATTTTTCTTGAAAAATAAATCTTTTTTTTTGAGTGTGAAGTGGTAAATCAATTCAAAAAAGTTTAAATAAAAAATTTTAAAAAATCAATTGAAAATTTTTATAGAGTTTTGAAAATCATTAATTATAAAAACTCTAAAATATCCTGGGCGACATAAAAAGTATATTTGGAAGGATTGCAAACGCATGAAAACTTTTCCAGTCCAAATAACCACAATAGCCCGAAGTCAAACATCTATACAAACTCTTCACATACATAAGTTACCATGTTGCTTAAAAAGATTTGACTTCTTTCAAGAAAGTCTTAAAGTATTTCCACCTCGACAGATATTTAGTTGGCTGAATGAAATTTGAGTCGCGTTTTAAGTTGAAATATTAAATGGATATTGCAATTGACCCTATCCCAACTGCTGAATAAATCCGAAAAATTTGAGATAAAGTCTAATATAAAAAAGCAATTTTCTGATAATTGATAATGTTCTGATCGGCAGGGGCGGATTTAGGAGGGGCAGGGGGATGTGGTGGACGTTTCTTTCTTTCTTGCATTATTTGAGTTATCCTCTTTTGGTGGCGGCGCAGAAAATTTGACCAAAACAGTGTCTTTTTAGTGCTTTGGAAGAACTCGGAAAATCAATTTGGTCGACAAAATTTACACAAATTTTTTCAAAATCCGCTCCGTTCGAGAAAATCCTAGATCCGCCCCTGCTAATCGGTATAATGATTAGAAGGAAAACAAAAAAATGTAAGGCTCTGAAAATGTGAGACTCTGAAAAAAATGTAAGGCCTAAGAGATAAATCAGCAATTTTAATTGCAAATTTAGCGCTAGTTTTTCTTAAAAAATCGCTTATTCATCGATCTATGAAATAACACAAGGTCATCCATGGAAATGTTATTTACACTGGATAAGCAATTTTCATCAGTGATCAGATTTTTACTAGGAACTCAACCCGTGAAACAAGGATATCAAAACTGGATCGTCCTAATTGGGTTTGAGTTTGACTTTTGTACGGAAAAAGAGGATTTACCATCGAAGTGTTTACCATCGGAGGATTTAACTATTTAGCCAGTGCTCTTGAATTGTTTAATAGTTTCCCATGAAACCTGAACTTTCAAACTGTTAGATGTCTTCTGTAGGTCCGCCCAGTCGTACCAGAGTCTTTACTCGATGGGGGAGCACATGGCCTTCTACGAACACGTGTTCGGCATGGGGGGCTCATTGCACGACAACTCCCTTCCTGCCATCATCATGCGGATGGAGAAGCAGTCTCTGGACACTGCCAAATTCAAAACAGAATCCAAGAACAAACAATCTAACCAATGAAATCAAAGCTAAATACAGATAGTCGATAAAGAAGAAAACGAGAAATACTTTAGTGTATTTTTCCATCCAGCTGGGAGGGTCAAACAGAAGATTTTCATAGCACTTTGCTTAGAAACGTATTATTTCAGTTTTGAAGTGCTTAACTTCAGCAAATTGAAAATTATTTAATTATCAAGCTGCAGATAAACATCGAATACAAAATACACTGTCATTAAAATCTACAAAGATTGACAACAAGTATTCCATGTGATGAAATTTTGAGGAAAAAAACTTGGTTACAACAAAAGCTTCGTGAGTTTTGTACGGATTACTATACTCATAGAGTAATTTCAGATAAGGTACACCGTCTGCTCGTCACGCTATCTTATTTTCGGCCGGATAGATTCGTGCAATTTGTTAGTTTAATACCAATCTTAATCTTACTCTTATATCTCCTAGTCTCAATAGATCTAGTGTATACTGGTTTCTGCGAGTTAGTTTCCAGAAGGAGAACAACTGTATTCTAAGTTTAATTCAAATTGCGCTGGTGCTGAAACTACAAGTAGTTTCAGCACTTACAAATAAGTGTGAAATTTAGTTATGGAATATGATTGGTTAGTTAAGGTTATTTTATAGAATTAGAGAATTATATTTATAACCAATTAGAAATTCTAGTTTAGAATTGGTTCCACCCATCCGGGGTTTAGAGAGTTTTTAGTTTTTATTGTTTTAATGTAGTGAAGGACGGTTGATGTAAAATCCTTTGGAAGTTGCGAGCATTGGCTTCTTGGGGGAAGAAGAAGTGTGTCTGTTGGTGTTTAACGAGTGAAGATTGTCATGTTCGTATTTGTAGATGGGTCTCGTTTATCGTGGTAGTCTTGTGTGAATGTGTCAAGAATTCTGATCGATACAATGATGTATCGATTTCATTAAGTTTGGAGCGAGACTGCGTGCAGGGTGAAGTTTGACTTTTCCGTGTGAAGTGCCAAGTGACTAGGATCTGTACGTGTGGTCAACATCGAGATGGCCATTGGTCTGGTTCAATGATTTTCCTTAGCTGCAATGTTGGGTCCATACTATAAATCCTTTGAGGTAGTGACTTTAGGCAGCAAATCAAATAGATTTGCCCTTCCGAAGTTGGAAAGTGATTGGATTGTCGTCTCCTTTGCTGCTCGTCTTTTGGGCTTTACGAAATCTATACATACTTCATTTATCTTTTACAAATATAAATTGCTTTGTTAATTTTAGTTTAATTCCGCGGGCTTTGCTATTAGTTTGTGGTTTTGTGACGTTAGTAAGCTGCGTTGGTTATTGTAGTTTATAAAGTAATTCCTTCCAACCGGGTTAAAGGAAAGTTTGAATCGTGTGAAAACTGGTTCGAGTTGTAATCAGTCAAAGTTAAAACTTAAAACTATTTAAACAATTCTTCGTGGGCGAGCTGTGCGATTGTGGGAAGAGTTTATAGGCGAGTGAATGATTCAAATTTTATAAACGAAGCGTCCTGTAAAAAGGTTAGTACTTTGAATTTATCTGCAATTTTTTATGAATTTACTGCGTTGGAATTTCAATTTTAGTGCTTTTGAGAAATTTTAATTTATAAATTTACTGCTGGGTGAAAAATTTTTATTGCATTGGGTTATTATTTAATAATTTACTGCTATTTGTGAGAAATTTTACAGATTTTTTAATTTTTTTGCGGTTTGTTAATACGAGTTTAGAATTTTTAAGAAGAAATTTTCAATTTTTCGTTTGTTTTTGTCTATTTTAGTTGATGTTTTGATCAGATCTAAAAAGAAGGTGAAACATTTATAAAAATTGGTTAGTTGTTTTTTGAATTCATTGGTGTATAATACATAATTCATTTTACTTAATCATCAGCAAAAAATCCATTTGAAAAAATATCGTGAATGACGTTTGATTTTGTTAGAAATTTAGCAAGTAAGCGGGTGATATATTTAGTTTGCAGTAGTGGTCAAAGCTGTTCAAGTGCTTTGATGATCTTGTGTTCTTCACTACTTGGTGAGAAGTCATGCGGGGTGTTTTGGATTAGATTATAAAGCTTCTGATTATATTTGATGTTATGAATGTATTCTAGGATTGGGATTTCAACGGGCTGTATATATTCGTGAGGGACAATTAGTGGACGGGATTCATCAACACTAAAAGTTCGGGTTAGTGGGCAGAAGTCGTAGTTTCTAATGATTCATTGCATGTTAGTGTCTTTGATACAATATGTAAAATTTAAGAAGAATGGTGAAGTGTATATGGAGCTAATGACTTGAAATTGATGGTGTGGGTTTCGTGATGGTGTATTAGTTGTGTATTGGTGTTGTATGAATTTGTAACAAGTGTATGTGTGAGTTTGTTTTGTGCGTAACATAATTCACGTTCTTTGGGTGTTAGGAAATTAAAGGTTAATGAAAAGTGGTTAAATTTACTGAAATAAGAGTCGAGAGCTTTTGTGTCGCGAAGTGCTGCGGATATAATCTGGTCATTTTTTTTATTCATGCAGTTGATAGTAAATACATATGAGGATTTGATGAAAAGTTTCTCAGTTATTTGGGGGTTAGCGTTTTTATCGTACATTCGAAAAAATATCTTCATTTGGTTGTGCAATGGCGTGATCATAATGGTTAATTGAAAATCTATCAGCTTTTTGTGCAGTGAATCCATTCAGTGTTTTGTTTAATACGATAGTTGTGAACTTTTTTTCGTAAAATGCTGTAGTGAGATGATATAGCCTAGTTTGACATAGTTCATTATCATCTAGATTATTATATAGTGGATGTGATAATGGGTTACTGAAGTGATAGTATGAGGTCTATGAAAATGTGGGAAATAATGCATTTTCGTAAACGTAATTTGGTTGTTAGTTGTTAAGATTTGATTGATAGTAAGTATATTGTGGAAAAAACGGCAAGCATACTTGGAGAAGTTCTTTTGTCTTAGTATGAAGTGGATGATCCATAATGGTCTGAGCTGTTCGAGGACTAGAAGGGAACGGAGTTTTGGGGAGTTTTCGTTTAAATACTCGGTGGGCTCGGGTTCCTCTAGTAGTGGATGGGGAGTTGGAGGATTCTGAGGAAAGGATGGTCTGTGAGAGATGATAAATGGTTAGTGTGCTAGGGTGTTGTAGTTGTTGTGGAGGGGTTATGAATTTATCTAAATCGTTTTCAAGTTCGATGTCAACGGGGCTAGAGTGGTCAGGTGGGTCGCTGGTCATTGGGGAGTAGATTGGGGTTGCATCAGTATAGGAGGAAGGGGCTGAGGAAGGTTCATCGGGGATTTGAGTATGGATGGGTTGAAAGGGGGGTGGGGAAAAAGTGGATGGGCTAGGTTCGCAGTCTGCGAATTCATCGGGGTTTCAATATCAGAGTGATTAAATTGTGAAATGGTGTGAAAAACTGTGTTCGTTGAAGTGTTGTCTGAGTCCATGCTTGGTGAATTTTTAGTATATGATGATTTAGGGTAGGGAGGAAAATCAAAAAGTGGGGAGATCTGGTAGTGACGTTGGAAGTTGGATGGGTATGAAAGGGAACGGTTGAGGGATCCAATCTGGCGGCTCATCGTGAGCTAAAAAGATGGTTGTTCTGAGAACAGAAATTAGTGGTATGTGGATGTTCTACAATTTGTTCATACGTCTCGTCGACATTTGGTTGTTGTGCTACAATGTGGGTAACTGGATTTTGTGGGTATCTATGAGATGTGCTCTGTTAAGGATTACTTCCTGTAATTTCGTGGTACTAAAAATAATGGATGGTTATTTTGTAATGTATGTAATTGTGGTGCAGTAGGTGTTGTATTTCCAGTGTCTTGTGAGTTATCCTATGTATTGGGTTTAGTTGATAGTTTTTTATTGTATTCACTTATTTGAGCGTCTAAAAGTATTTTGTTAATTGAGGTTGAAATTTATTCCAAAAAATCCTACGAAGAGTATTCGTGCTACACTTGCTTGTTTGTTTACTTGTGTGTGTATTGCGCATGTATTGTAAATTCCTTTCAATAATGAAAAAAGAAATCCAAAAAAAAAATTAACATTCCATATAATATAGTCAATTTTTCTAAGATGTATTAGGGCCATCCTAGAAACGCGAGTAGTTCATTTTTTAAAAATTCTAAAAATTTTGATAGGGGAAACATCTTGTGGACGGTATTTTTCACCGTTTAGATAAAGGTAATCTTTTATATCTTTAAAAATACCACTGCAGTCTTGTGTTTAGATGTCTGAAAATCCTGCGGTTTCTGCAAGTTTTCGTAAATTTTGGTCAATGGATTGTCTTTGTATTGTGTCCATTTTTGTGAGGAGTTCTTGAAATTGTTGTGTGCGGATGTGATACTGTATATCTGATCTGGTGTATAAACCTATTGATTGTAGTTCTTTATTTGGGTTTCTAGTAATAGCTGTAATACTTTCTGGTGAAAATTTTTTTAATGGTGGCATAAGTGTTGGGTATGGTGTGAGAAGATAATATTTATCTTCATCGGGATTTAATTGTACAACATTGTGGCTATTTTCAAATCCACATGGGACGGCTGCATCCCAAAAACATGTTCTCCTAGAGAGCGTGTCAACAAAATGTACTTTATTTTTGTAGAATATGGGAATTCTTTTGAAACATCTTTTATCTTCAAATACATATAATGGTGATACTCTTTTCGTACATGTGTAATCTCATAATATATTTCCTTCGAAGTCAATAAAATTTGATCTATTTCCTGACAACAAATATCCTGCATAAGGTATTTTAAATACTGCAAGTGCAAGTGATTGTAGGACTTGTGTGCATTCAAGTTCACATAAATGATGAAGTGTTTCTAGTTCTGATAGTGACATTTCGTGAAAAATTCTATTTATTGTGTAATCTAATTTCATGTCTAAGTGGATGTCATACTGAACTGCACCAAAATAGGTATTGTTCATAAGTGATAGTTCTTGTAAGCGTGTTCACCTGTTGTCTTGTGGTCGACGTTTTCCACCACTTCTTCCTGTATTTTTTTAGAAATGTACTGGGATGTATGCATTTTCGTCGCTATTTGAGATGTGATGTGTCAGATTTTGGTGTAATTTTTAGATTTCCTGTGTTCATGTCAAAACCTTTTTCGTATTCGACAAGAATTTCTGAGTATTGCGTTTTAAAAACAGGAGTGTTATATTTGCAAGCGAGTTCCGTTTTTGGGTACATTTGAAAACGTGTTTGTTTGTTTTCTATATTATTAATAATT